AGGTCTGAGATCGAATTCCCCTCCACTCTGAAATATTGGAGGGTAACATATGTCAACATTTTCAGTCTTTAACTTCACGCCAGCTTTTGAGGGTTCCAGAATGGCTTTCTCTGTCTCATCCATCAATGATGAATGGGTGATTTTCTTCTCCTCATCAATCACATTCTCCAGCTTTGGGACCACAACCTTATTCATCACATTAACTGTTAAAAATGCAGCTTTCTTGATGTTCATAATTTCATTATCATCTTTGCAAGCAAATAAGTCAGATAACCCATTTGTTATGTCACCCAATTCAAAGTTGGCACTTTTTAGCTTCCCGGACCATGTCTGTAAAAGGGTTCCTTCAGGAGCTTCTCTAGCTATGTATCCAACTACTGGGCTGTCCAGGCCATCTGCCTTTGACTGAGCTCGAATAGCACGAAATATAGCATCCATTAAGGAAGAACCATCGTCATTCTTTGCCTTCACATGCATAACAACATCTGCACCAACAGCATCCAAAGCAGATTTTTTTACAACATCGAGTAGAGAGACCTTCTTTTGGCTACACAGAAAATGGATTTGTTTCTTGGTGAAAACAATAATAGTCTCTGGAAACTCATAACCCAACAACCATATATGCAGTGCTGAAGACTTGAGGTACCGCAGATCCTCTGATGCTGGAGGTGTGGCAATCGCTAGCACATCTGAAGAGCTCCACATATCAGATTTGTGTTCACCCCAGTGAGAATATATAGCTTTCAGTCTTGTGCTGAAGTTCTCAAGATCAATAGAATATGCATTCGCTGCTCCACTAGTCTTCCCATTAGGAGGTTGACTATTACCATTTCTACGATCAGCCATAGCAATTATGTAGCCACAACACCGTAGACCAAAAACAACCCTGAAGCAGTGAATAAGCCAAAAAGGCAATTAATTTTAGGGGAGTTTACCAAAAAGAAAAATCATCAAACGGTCAAAAATAAAATAAAGCTCAAATAAGTCATAATTGAAAGACGTAAAGAACTTTTCTTCTGGGAAGAACTTTTCTTTTCCTTGTCTACTTCCAGTCGTGAAGGACTTTTTTCGTAGTTCACGTTCTCATGTTTGGATGGCCCGCACTTAATTTTATGTTTTTCAAATGCCTTTGGTTTCAAATATTTGCAATCTTTCAGGAGCCTTGTTTTTTTCTTTCTTTTCGGTTATTCACTCCTCTAAGTCTCTTTTGAACATTTGTTGTTTCTTATAAAAATATTAAAAAAAACCAATAAGAAGTTTGTATCTTGTTTAATAGATTTCACTTTAGCTTGTGAAGCAAGCTTAAAAGCTTTACAATGAAAGTTTACATTTCAAGCTAAGCTATGTTACAGTGTCAGGGAAACAAAACAAAATTCAGAAGGTGCAACCGACAAACAAAGAGTTCGGCATTAATATGCTTCATCTTGAGGTTCCATAGACAATAATTTCCCTTGATCCAGAGGATCCCTTGTAACGTCCATCTCCTTTTTTTAAACAAGAAATGACCTTGTAACATCCATCTCATAATCACATATGCACATACCAATTTTTAAATGGAAGGTAAAATTGCCATTTTCGTTCTTTGTGACCTCCTTGAGAAGAATCAAACAATCAGTCAATAACTGAACGAACAATTTATAAAATCAGTGCCAAAATATTCACTATCTGCACTAGAATACATTTTCCACAATCTGCAGTCTAACACAATTATCATATCAATTAATGAAGAAACTAATGTATAGTGTATACCCCATGAAAAGAGGGGAAAAAAAAACTAAATTAGCAAGGTTTCAAGCAATTAAAAAACATCTCAAATTCATACTTTAGTTAACTGTAAAAATGAACTTCTTTTTTTTATAAGAAAAAAATAAACCCATCTAACATCTAACATAGTTAGATAAGTATGAGTATTTATTGTTCACGAGCATTCCTCAGAAATACTAAATATAACTATCCAAAACTTTGAATCATAAAATATTTTTAAAGGATTAAAATAATTCAAAAACAACAGAGTTATGTTGATTTCAGTCAAACTAGTAACCAAACTAATGATAGACAAATGAGGAAATTGATTTTAACAAAACTGGTTGGTTCAGGTAACCTAATTTGGGTCTTATATTGGACCTACCTAGAGTTGCATATACAAGGCTGTTTGGATTTCCTTCACTTGTAGTTTTTGTTCAGGTTTATAGCAACTTCAGTCTGTCAAACCGACTAGCAAGAGAACCATATAACATAATGGCCAACTGAATTGAAGAATTCTTGAGATCAAATTTAAACTAAAAGAAGAAAGCTAATCATGATAATGGTTGTTTCTCTCCCTCCCACATCATGCCCAGCAGCAGCCGTAGTATTTTCTCCCTCTACGTTTGTGAGCAACAGCCCTAGGGAGAGCACTGCACAGTGCACAGCAACCCTAGCATACTCTCCTCATCCATTGCCAATTCTCTCACCCACTATACCCTTCATCGATTTTTTCTCCCTCTCATCTTAACATGCTCAACCCTACAATTTAAGTAATAAAATTGCTTCTAGATGTTATTTATATTGTAATACTGCGTAGCATTGACCCACCCACATGAACTCAAACTGCCAAACCGAACTGAACCAACAAAACTTTCAATTTGGTGATTCACAGTCAATTGGTTCAACCCCTTTCCTTTTATTCTGCATGCCTTTGGTTCCAATTCTGCTGGAAAACTAAGTAGGAACAAAATCTTACCCCCTGGTCATGGTTTCAACAAAAAGGCAAAAATTATATGGACAAATATGGTCAACCCAATCTTATGGGGGTATTTGTGGGAAACGAATCCCAGCAAATTTGAAGACAAACAGGCTCCTTGGTTGGATAGATTTGATATTATCATTAATGCAGCTTCTTGGTTTGCTTCATCAAAACAATCCCGTCACTATTCTTCTTTCGAAATTAGTTGAGTTGGAAAGCCTTTTTCTAGGGTTTAATTTTAGAGTGGAAGTCTTGTAATCGTATCCAATTTTCCTATCATGGAAGGTTCTTGTATCTCGATGAAGTAATAGCAACAAAAAGCTGTGTTTCTTTCCCGGAAAGAAAAAAAATAACAAGCCATGTTATAATCTAATCAAAGCCACAAAAATAACGCAGTCGATACTTTTTCCAGATGGGGGCGTCCAATCGGAATAAAAATACACAAACACACATACTTTTTCAGGGTTTACGTTACAGTAGAAAACACCATACCTGGTATCGGAAACCAGGAAGCAACGAGATCGTGCAAGTTGCGGAAGCTGAAACAGAGGCAAATGTGGGTAGAAACCCTCAAGAAATCCAAGCTTGGGAGCGGGAGAGAGATGAGGCTGTTAGAGATGAGGGTGAGATCATTGATGAGCGCGCGATTGAGAGAGACGAAGAGCAAGAGATTCAGAGTTTGGGAGAGAAAATGGGGACCGACAGAAGAGAAGTGGTGGGAGGGAAAGGGAACAAGGAGGGTTGCTGCAATCTGCAATCTTCAATGTATCGAGAGAGAAAAGGGAGGGAGCGGAGGGCGGGCGGAGACTTATTTATTTTTTACTACCCAAATAAATTGTAGAATTGTAATTTGACCCCAATCTATAAATTTCTTCTAAAAAATGGACCAGGACGCTTTTGCTGATGTCATGATACTGCGCAATTACATATTTATCCTCTTCTTATGTTGACACTTGACAGCGACGAAGATGACTGCTATGCTAGTGGGGAGTGGGGACTGCGCTCGGAGCGTTGTGTTGGAAAAAAAAAAAAATATATATATATATATATATAATAATAATAATAAATAAATAAATACCATTTTAGTTTATTTACGTTTAGACCAGTTAGTCTTAATATTTTCAAATATCTAAATTTAGTCTACAAATTTAGAGTATAGTTCTTATCGTTAGTTTGAGATTAGTTTTGAAAAAGATTACGTATGTGATTAAGAATCATATTTGTTTTTGAAAACTATTTTTCAATTGTGTGATTCAAAGTAATAAAAATTTGGATTTAAAATTTTAAAATATAAAATCACATCAAGAAAATATATAAAAATTTTGAAATACTATATTATTTCATATTATAAATTTATTTCATTTTTTTTAACTAGAACATCTAAAACCTAATAAATTATAAATTATACAGTATTTTAAAAAATTTATAGCATATGTTAATTTTTTTTTAAGAATAAGCATATGTTAATGAATTATTTAATCATATTCCATTATTGAATATCTAATAACTAATTAACACTAGTTTATATATATATATATATATATATTTTGCAATGGAGTTTACAAATATGTTACTTAATACACCTGAAACAATTTTAAAAATGATTCAAATCTTCTACATAACATATTTTCAAAAATACTAAAAATACATAAAATACGACTGCTTTTTTTGTTTTTTTTATATTAAATCTCTCGTTTTCTGTAAGCTTGTTGTCCCAAAATTAAGAAAAAAAATTAAAATTAACATCATATTAATGATGATGGTAATTTCTAAAATTTATTAATGTTTAAAATTATAGAGACTAAAACCAAATATATCGATATATAACAAAAAAATCAGAATGAGATTGTAATTTTTAACCAATAAAAATACTTTTGTAAATTGAGTCTCTTTTTTAACTTAGAATGGTTTTCCTTTTTGAATATGACACAGTATAACAAAAGCTTGAGACAAAAGATAGGTAAATGAAGACTAAAAAGCAAAGTTTTTACTAAATTTCACAATTTGTTCACGTTCTATAATTGTAAATAACATGCAAACAACGAATGAGACTATATTGCATTTTTTATAAATTAAGTACTATATAAAAGACTATATGTAAAACTCTATAAAAATCAGACAACTACCGCTAAAATTAAGATTTTAAAAGTTAAAACGACCAAATAAAATTTTAGAAGTGTGAGGACAATTTTTTTTTTTTAAAAAATGCTAGAAGTAAATTGACCAAAATACTTCATTGATTCGAGGTAAGCTATAATCATAAACATTTAAACTATTTTGAATATAGTTTAACTGGTTATGGCTCAAATTTCTAGTTCTTACAGAAAAAAAATCATTAATTACAATAATCTCTTTCTTTTAAAAGAAGGCATTACGAACATGGTTTCAGTCAAACCCCTTCTCTTCAGTTTCATAATCAATATCCCCAAGCTTGCTGTAACTGTGCAATCTGCTCATCACAGCCAGACCTGAGACAAAAAAAAAAACACTAAATGGATAAATAAAATGCACATAAATTCATTATACTTTTGGTAATCATTTCTATGGGAAATTTCCTGAATCCAACAAGGGGATGAGTGGAGTTCATCGAGTTGACAATGCACTTTATATATGTCTCCAAGAATAGCTTCATGTCAATGTTTAAATCATATGATATTGTTCAACTAATTAACATTGTAGAAATGTGTGGAAACATTGATGCATCCCCGTCACAACCCTGCAAAAGAAGATTCCAGCAAACACAGGCAAGAAGGAGCTTCGAACTAGAAACAAAAGGGAAATTCCTTGGAGGCATATTTGAAATTTGCCTCTTCTACATCAATGTTTTCATCAAGAAATGAAGTTCAGTGTACTTTCCTTCAATGGTTTTTTGTCCATTGCATGCATTACCTTCAATTGTTCGGTGGAAAGACGACCACCAACTGTACTTGGGAACCGAGTCTCGACTTAGTACTTCGTCTATTAGTCTGTCATGTTTTCCCTCCAAAACTCCATGCAGTGTAAGAACTGCATCATTCGTTTTCCCGATGATATCATTTCCATCAGAAATATTAACATCTGGCCTTTGGAGGTCATTCTGAGAGGCAGCAAGACTTCTGGACAGGGCAGATTGTGCGGCAGTCATCCAGTGGGATTTTGCAAGCCATCTCCCATGGCCATCCTGCAGTAATTTGTCTTCACCATGTGGATTGTTCTCTTTTTTTCCAAGAACCAAGCTGCATAAGTACTGAGCATTTGCAGGTCCTGTACTTTGAACCATTTTATAAAATGCGCTTCCTTCATTTGAAAGCAGCATTTCAGGGGTATCATATTCTATGACCTGAATGAAGATTGGTAGTTCTAAGATTATTGAGCAATAATTTCACAAATAGCATATTAAATAATAGAAAGAATGGAAAGAATTTTCCCTTTATGCTAAAATAAGGAGGTTGAATATCTAAGAAAATTCTGGCACAAAGATGCTAAAGGAGACTGCTTTAAAGCTAAGAAATAAGCAGGAACATGCATAGACATTGGGCAGACAAGATTCATTTTCCATAAAATGTTTCCTTCTCTATTTTTTGTGTCTAAAAAATTAGAAAAATACTTGGTTACTTACCCGTAAGGACTAAATCTTGTCTTCACCACCATTGAATTGAAAAATTTTCTTTTTTTGCATTTATCTCTCTTGCCCTTACCGGTAAGGAGCCAAATATTTTCCAAAAATTTATTCAAGAACCTAACACAATGTGTCTATTCCATGACATCCATGTTAAAACACCTCTATAAATGTCAAGTATCATAAACTTCCGTTACGAACTAATTACAATTCTTGAAAGCATGGGGACCCTGACATACGCAAAAAAAAAAAGTAAAGAAGAAAACGGTGTAATTAATTTACTACCTAAACTTTTGAAAGTGGAGCAGGTTATGTAGTCATTCATATAATCCAAATAAAGAGAAATAAAATAGAGGCATACCTGTCCTGCATCCAGTACTAGAATCCGATCACAATCAATAATTGTATTTAACCTATGAGCAATTATCAGCATAGTGCATGATTTGAACTCCTCACGGATAGTTTTTTGAATAAGGGAGTCTGTGTTAACATCAACAGCTGCAGTTGCTTCATCAAGAACAATGATCTTTGATCTTCTCAGTAATGCTCTAGCGAGACTTATCAGTTGCCTTTGTCCAACACTGAAATTTTCCCCTCGCTCTGAAACCTTGAACAATTACACACTAATATTAAACAATAATAGCGTTCAAAATCACTTCAACTTGCAATTGGTTAAAGTTCAACTGTGTCATTTTTAATCTGATGATAACAAGGTCTCACAAAATATTTAGTTCTGCAAAATTATTTTGGAAACCTGACAATAACTTCTTATATGAGGTTTTATATCACATAATTCCCTAATACTAGATATACCATACCTTGATCTTATATTTTGAAAGCATTCACAGTTCATTTCAGTCATATACCAACAAACTAGCCTTGGATTCAAATAAATGAATAAATAAAAGATGACCGCACTGTATGCGAAAACTATTTTTTTCCCCCTGAAATCATAATTACCAATGTGAGCCAGAAACTAAACGACGCAGGACAGCACAGGGTTTCTATGCAAACAAAGGGTTTAATTATGAGCTAAGCCATCTTTCAGCATTTTGTTTTCAAAACTATTGGCCTCTACATGTTCTATAATTATTGATATACAACCTCTCCTTACTGTCATGTCACCAATAAAGTAATTTATTTCCCTTTTATAAAAAATATACAATATTTCCTTGCCATTTTCTAATTACTGTTTCTCTGATATGTGATATCCAAACCAATTGAGAGCCTTTTATGTAACTCCTTGGTCCGCTTGTACTTTCAAGTTCTTAATAGAAAGTGATCTCTTCCTGTACAAAAAAAATCAATAATTTTGGTCTAAATAGTTAAATATAAGTAAAGGCTCCTTCATAGGACTATACAAGTCTAATCAATAAATATATTATGTAGATCGTCATAGGAACATGAATATCATAAAACAATAATAATTACACATGATCATAACATGGTAAATCAAGCCTTCTTGCACTTAGCTGAAAGCCTATGCATTTCAAACTAACTTGCAAATGCAATGCCGATATGAAAAGGAAGAAAAAAGTTCAAGGATACAAGCTCCCAAAGGAAGCGAAAAAAGAATAAGAAAAACAAACAGAACATAGAAACCAAAACCCCATGAAATCTATGAAAAAGATGAGATCTGAAGCCCAAGAATAGATACTGAAAAACCAATGTCATTGCCTATTGGCCAGCTCCTTTTGACAAACATGGAGAGAAGGATATTGTCCACATTAAAATAACAACCTCAAACTTTGATGTGAAATCAACTTCACAGTTATCCAATGCATAGTAAAGAATAATTCAAGTTACGTAAAATTCACACATATGAGTTTTGTCATATTTATTAGAAATTACTTTTACTGGACATTCAACCTAAGCTGAGGTTAGCGAAGTATCTTACCTCAGTATCCAAGCCAAAAGAGCTCCTCATAATTACATCCTTAAGATGTGCTCTCTCAAGAGCCTCCCACAGGTCAGCATCATTATGGTCAGAGAATGGATCAAGATTAAATCGTATTGTTCCTAAATAAACAATGAATGGATGAATAGATTGAAAGAAAGAGGAAGAGAGACAATAAGAGATAACTTGCATTCTAAAACCTATAATTCAACTGAATTTAATGCAGAAGATAGTTAATTTAGAAGAAGTTAACACAAGGTATACCTGAGAAAAGAATTGGTGATTGTGGTATGATGGTTAGAGCTATCCGTAAATCTCTTAGCCCAATCTTAGCAATGTCACAACCATCAATTGTTATTCTTCCTGTTTCAATTTCTACAATTCGAAATAATGCATTTAACATACTTGATTTTCCTGCACCAGTTCTTCCAATTATTCCTAGCTTGTCAGTTGGCTTTATGGTAAAAGACAATCTATGCAAGACGGGAGGAAGTCCAGATCTATAACGTAGGACAACATCCTCAAAATCAATTGACCCAGATGAAGGCCAACCATATGGGGGGCGGTTAGATTCAATTATAGCTGGAGCCTCAGATGGCAAATCTATGTATGCGCCTACACGTTCAACGGCATTTAAACTATTTTCGGCCCTACTTGCTTGTCTTAGAACACCACTTAACAGGCTTGTGATATTTAGAGTATAACTTAAAAGTAAACCCATCGTAGATGCAAACGCCACCTGGTTTTCTTCTTTTGAATTCTGCAAGACGGCAAAAGTTGCAATCAACCAAATCATAAGGCCTCCTAATGTTTCCAACCTTATTGTGAGCCAACGATTTGAGCTGATATTTGCAAGAGTGAACCTGATATTATTATCCATGAACCTCCCATTGATGTTTGCCATTCGATCATATGCCTTGTATGCACAAATAGTTGGCAGACCATTTAATGCTTCCCCAAATTGAGCATAAATAGGAGATCTAGTGATGGAATCCAAGCGTTTAACTTCACGTGAGGTACTCTGAAAAAAGCATGAGATGCAATTAATTTTCTTATCCAAATACAGCCTCCATAGTTTATTGAAAAAAAGGAAGAAAATAAAAGCAGATGTGTTTATTGTATTCTACAATTTTTTTTGACAATCCAAAAAATACTGTTTCCACTGTTTCAAGACACTTTCAGGAACAAGGATTATTCCATTATTCTATACTTTACCACTGAGCCTACCTGGGATTTACGTCCATACTGCTTTATCAATTAAAAAAAAAAAATCACTTCACCGAAGTGAGTTCCCCTGCTCACTAGCTTCCAAGACCAAGAAAAATTGGGTTTAAAAATTTAAAAAGAAAAGAAACCCATTGGATAACAAACAGTATTCTGGAAGAGAAAAGGTTAATTTTAGATTTATGCATACTAAATTCTCCTATTTAAGTTACTAAATATTTCTTAGCAACAAATGTTAAGAACTTATAGCAAATACCATTTCTATATAGCAGAAAACATAGATCCATGCTTGAATGTCTCAACTCGGCTAAGTTCAAGGCTTCTCATTGGTGTTCTCTTGTGGATCCATTCTCTAACTATCCCCCTGTTCTTATTTTCAACAATTGGAGCGCTTTTATTAGTCCTTTATAGCTCCTTATTTTTACTTTATGCTATTATTTTTATGCTTTTCTTTTCACTCTTTCGAGAGTTTGTATCTTTGAATATTTTGTTCCTTTTCATATCTTCAATGAAAAGTTAGTATCTTGTTCCAAAAAAATCAGAAAAAAAAGAGAAAACATGAAAGAGAAGGGCTAGATGTTATGGACGAGGTATAATTACAAATTTCTTAACAGAACTGGTAAAACTAAAAGGCAAAATAGATCGATAACCATTAAGTAGCAGCACATGAAAGGCTAAAAGAGAAAATATGTGACAAACTAGTTGAAGAAAAGGGAAAAGTAAGTAGTTCAAATCCTACCTGATAATATAAATAGGCTGCATAAAACAAGATCAATAGCGGCGTAATGGCCCATAGGGAAATTGGGCTCACAGTACCTATCAGTACAAATGTTGACAGCAGTTGCCACAGTTGTCCTAGAAATGTATTCATAATATTGGCCAGAGCACGATCAATGTCTCCTAGATCTTTTGCAAACCTATTGATAATCCGTCCAGTTGGATTGGTGTGGAAGAACACCATTGGAGCTCTTAGAATTGAATTTAGCATGGCATCATGCAATTTTCTAGATGCATGAAGGCTTGAGATGATTAACCAATAAGTGTTTGCCACTGTGAAGGTTACCTAGAGGGATCACAAATAGAACAACTCTTAGACACAGAGAAAACACAAGCTGTCATGTCCAATTATTTTGATGAGAAGAATGTCCCAATGTCAAAATCTTGGTATTTTTCGATATTCATAAACATTGTAATGGTAAGATGAGTCAACAAATTGTATCAGAGACCAATTTGGGCATACTGCTTAAGACATATATCTCCGACCAAAAAGTCGTGAATTCGAATTCTCATTCCTACATGTTGTAATTAAAAAAATACTGTATCAGGGCTTGTATCCTAATTTCCACTGGATTTCAGTTCTTCATCCTTAATTAATTAATGGACAACTCTTGAAGAGTCAAAACATTGCTTGATATTTTAAATTTTAAATTACCACAATAATTTTGTGGAAATAAATGAAGAAAGCATTCACCACAAAACAAGAATGAATTTTTTAGAGTTAAAATATTACAAGTTTGTTTTATGGGTACTGATTTTATGATAGATAAGTACACGAGAAAGATGTACGTGACCGAAATTATAAAAGCTCTCTAATTAGTTAGCATGACATAAAATCCAAGTAACAAACATCCTAAATCACATGAAGTATAGGTTTTTATTCTCTCACCAGCATGCAGATTTTTTTTTACCTGGATACTTTTGGAGGCGGGTTTTGCATTTTTTTGTTCTATTTTTCTGTTATGACTAATTAATTTAATATAAAAGGTAAAAACGGCAATTAATTAACATAAATCCCAAAAAAAAATCTACAAAATAAACACAAATATTTAGAAACTTTAAACATTAATTCTTTTCCATAACCAAATATAGATATTCTTATTTTGCATTCTCAATCATTTAAATGCTAAATATTTAATGCCCAAATATCATTATCTATACCCGCCAATTAAATCCCACTATCCAAATGGACTGCCCAAATATCATTATGTGACTCACCTGGCCAAAGGACAACACTGCATAAATAAGATTGTAGTATCCAGCATTATAATTTTCTGAAGTACTTTTCTTTGTCCAAAAGCTTAACCACGTGCTAGTTAAAACTCGAAGGACTTCTGTCAGCAGATAAAATGTAAAGAGTATGGTAACTACCCATGGACCTCCTAAAGCATCCTTATACCTACACATGCAACAAAATTATTATTAATAAGATCCAATAAACAGTTGATCTTGATGTTCCTTTTATTTAATTTTAAGCACAAAAATACTTTTGAAGCATGGATTTCCTGTAAATTGCCATCTTACCTCATTAAAACCTTCCAACTTACTATTCCTGTCTCCCTTTCCTCTTGCTTGATTAGTACAGATTTCCCTCCTTTCCCTTTCCTTGTATAGCTCAAGTCTATTGGCAATTCGTTCTCAAGTCCACCATCAGCAGGCATGGGGCTTCCTTGGTAATTATTTTTGTTGTATTCATTTTCCACCATTTGTTGCTCCAGTTTCCCAGCATTTTCCATTAGCTTCTTGAAGTGTTTGCTGTTTCTTGAGAGCTCCTCAAAGGTTCCTTCCTCTATTACAGCACCTTTGGAAACCAGAACAATTTTGTCGACCTGGGGAAGAAAATGTAACTGGTTTGTGACAAGCACCCTGGTTTTCCCTTGCAACTCTTCCTTGATACATCTGTTAAAAACCTGAAATACATACAGTTCACATTAGACCTCCTACATATGAGCTCCAGTTACCAACTTTTGTTTAGTTCCAGAATCCAATGACCTATATACTATGAACTAAACTTAAAGGAATAACTAAAATGAAAGAGATAAGCATAAAATAGAGTTGATAGTTTCAGAACCCAATCTGTGCGCAACTGTTGGTGGGTAGATTTTCTCTCACTTTGAGCCAGAAGGTTTCTTTTGGGTCAAATCAATATTGTAGGAGGTGTTTGTCAAACGTATAGTCAGCCATAAATAATTGGAGGATTTCAGAATCTCAATAAATTTTTTTGTGAAGTTTTTTTATGCCTTCAAGCAAAAGGTTTTCCAGCAAGCGCTAAAGGGTTCAGAAGATGGTTTGGCTCACTGGAATGTGCTTGTCAGATTTATGGTTTTCTGCCAGATTAGTGTATTTTTTGTCACGGTTTATATGATAACCTCTAGTGGGATTGTTATTTTAGTTGGGTTATTGATGCCGCTCAAATTCTTACCAAGTGGTTGTAATGCCACAAAAAGTAGAAATTCACGGCAATTTTGCATGCAGCATACCTGCTGACTAACATGAGCATCTAGGGCACTTAGAGGATCATCAAAAACGTAAACATCAGAATTGGAATATACAGCCCTAGCCATAGAGACTCGCTGTTTTTGACCGCCACTTATGTTTACACCTCTTTCACCGATCTCAGTGAGATCACGACCCTGAGAAACAAATGTGTGAGGCAAATTGTGGAAGCATTCAATTTAAATAAGAATCTATCAATAAATAGATTTCTGCA